AGAATAAATACTAACTTTCATTTATGTAATACTAAAAGTCATTTAAAAAACCGTTAGAGAGATAAAAGTAACATAAAATCACTGAAATTATTATACATGTTCATGTTTTATGCAATTTCTTTATTAGTTTGAATTTTGATAGTAGTAGGTATCCACCAAAGAGTTTATTCCGCATGGATTGCTTCATATCGACGCTAATTCCACACTATTATCCTTATCCTGTACCTTATAAGATTTCTTCTAATGTTTTCGAGAAAATTTAGGATACTCACCTGTGAAACCTTTTACATTTTTTTATTCCTTCCCTTTCTTGTTGCCTTTAAAACTGAAGCAATGCTTAAAAGCTAAAAATTAAAATTAATATGGTATGCGGGTTGCGAATATTTTCTTTTTAGCCATTACATCAAGAAAAAAAAGAGATAATTGCCAAGCGATAAACAAAGTGGATCGGATGTTTTGGGCAAAATTGAGCATAGCAGTAATAAATAATATCTAGATGTGTTACATCGATTTCTAAAATAAGGAAAATCATGAAGAAATGTTAAAAAAGAAAAAAAATCCGCTATTATTGTTTTCAAGTGAGCTACATCTCTACGACTTCTAAGGAAGAAATTTATTTGCTTATGCTTTTTGTTCTTGTTTAATAGTAACTGTAGATGTTTATTAGTATATGTAGATGATTAATAGTAACTACTACTGTGTTGCTTGTCTCCTCTAGGATTAGTGCTAGCCATGAGTGGTGAATACAAAATTAAACTTTACTTCGAATTCTTCTTGCGAATAATTGCGATCATAACGGTCGAATGGTTGAAGATTTGAGCTTTCGCAGTTTGTACTTCTAGAGGGCGCCACTAAAGAGAAGCGGCTATTTTCGAATTCGGCAATCCGTTGCATATGCATGATTTGTCGTTTTATTTTGAAATATTTTCACATCTGACAATTTTATAGCTTTATACTATTTTATTTTTTGACTGGTTGGTATCGACGGATACATCTGATACATGTCATTTATGCTTGGGAAAATTCAGTCGCAATTTTCTTAATAAACATTTCGTAAAACACCTGGAAAAATTCAGAATTATTGTTTTAATAAATTTATGCAGTTTGGTGCTCTTTAGTACCATAAACTAAGTCCAAACTCCGCGCAGATAAAGCTTATTAAAAATTGACTTCTGCTATGTCTTAAGAATGCTATGTCTTTCTGTTATGTCTTTTCATGTAACACTGTGCACTGTTAGTGTGCACCTTTTGATATGCACTGTAAACACTATCTGTGGAAACCCTCGAGTGCAAGCAAATTTACTGTTATTCTCGAGAAAGTTATTGAAGATAATGAAACAAAAGCGCTTCATGTGAAGTTTCTCTACGCTTCGCTAGCATTTCAAATTTTATATTATTGACAATTACTGATTGCGCTGGCGCATCCACAAATTCTTAATATTGTTACTTCGATGCTCTTCGTCTAACCATAACATAAATTATTTTTTTATCCTTTTAGTGCATTAATTATCATATCCATTCTAAATAAGATCTTACTGTATAAAAATCTTTTTTTAATTGTATTTTATTTTCTGCTTTTTAGTCACTATTAAAATGGAAAAAATAAATTATGAAAAAATTATTAAATAAAGAAATATAATTGAAAGTCATTCATTCAGGGAATGAAGAAATTGCTTTGAGCGTTCAGTTCAATATTACAACGAGCATTTTACTTGTAGCTAAAATGAAAAAATCTGATGTGTTCACCACATGACTTCCTTGTACGGAAAATTAAATTATACGCACTTTTTTATGCATTTCATTTACGCTTATTTTCTAAAATTTCATTAGAGATAGATTTCTCATTCAATTACCTAATTCAGTTCTCACTTCGCAGCATCTAATAGGTTCTCAAGGGATTCATATTTAATCTTCCGAATGAATGATTTGATAGTCCGGTGGTATATGAAACTTTGTCAATATTTTAGAACATTCTACTCAATGAAATTTGTGCTGAAGGAAAGATGAGTTTGCAAAAGGAATTAAATTATTTCTGTTTCAAAATAAACATCCAAACTAAAGTTAAATGAAAAACTCCTCTGTGAAAAAGAATATTACCAATTAACGCTTATCTGCTTTGTATAGGCTTCTAGAGGAGCGAAAGGAAATCTAATAAGTTCTTGTTTCTTTTTAACGATTCAAACTAATTGTACAGGCATCATATTTAAAATTCAAAAAACTTTGAGAAGTCATCCAGATTTGGCGACATTTCTCTAAAATGTCTTATTTACCGACAAATTTTGAAAATCAATAGCTTCAATTTTGTTTAAAATAACACGCCGAATAATGATTATCGGAGAAGTCAAACAACAAGAATCAGCGTTATATTTGTAAATTTTTCCAGGACTAGTTTCGATGTTTCTGTAGTTAAACCATTGAAACTAGTCCTGAAAAATTTAAAAACTGTAACGTTGATTTTTGCTGTTTTGACTTCCATTTTACCAAAGATGTAAATAAGCTATGTACGGCTATGTAAATAAAAAAAAAACGTAAAAATTATAAAAATTGTAAAATAAAAATTTGAAAACAATCTCAAATTCATAATAATATGTACATCTAAAATGCATAACACACAGATTTATGTACACATGCAAACGCGGACTTAAAGTATTATGTTCTGCAATTCATTGCGTATCTTTAATAGCTATTGAAATTGTTGATTTATTTATCTTTTAATGCATATGCAACAACATTTCGGAATGCTCTTGATTCTTATAAAGGAGTTTTGTTGGATTATAACAATAACAATAATAATAATTAAAACTTTTTTTGTCCTTGTAAAAGATTGTTTATTCCAAAGTTTGTACTTTTTCTTGAGGTAATTTCGAATGTAGTCTGTATGTAAGAATGTCTTCGCTTTTCGCACCAATATTAATGTGTCTGCTAGATTAAGTTAAGAATTATATATATATATATATAATAAATTCCATAGTCAAGCATACACTTAAAATTCTAACTGTATGTTCTTTTCATTAACGGGCGACGTTCTCTTATTTGAAATACGTGGAAAATCCACCGTCTCGTAGTCAAGTTGTTTTTCCCGCCTTTCTGCACGTGCAGTATAGAGTTTCTGGAAATATTTAAGCGAACGGGATTGGCTGACGAGGCTGACGTCATTTCTTGGAAGCTCCGCCTTTCCAGAGGCTATAAAAGGCCCGCAAAAAGATAGGGGTTTTCCTTAAATGCCACGATGCAGTAAACTTAATACAAAAAGTATTAGTAAGCTTTAGTTACTCCGTATCTGATTGGTAACGGTCTATTATTCTGAAATATAAATGGAGCCGTTTTTTTTTTTTTTAACGTATCGTCTGGTAATTTAAGCTACGACTTAAGCTGGGTACATCATATAATATATAGATACATATATGAGAGAGAGAGAGAGTGGTGTGGGAGAATCATGAACCCACCTGTAGTTTATTACATTTATTTATTTTTTGGGCGTTTGTTTCAAAATGCCACAAGCTCGAAGGGGTTAACTGTAAAAGCGTTTAAAAAGGGCTAGACGTTAGAAAAAAAACAATTAACGGAGTACTGCCGTGACCTGTCTTTCATGTGAATGGGCTGGTTTCTTTCACTTTCAAGAAAAATATTATTGGTCTGTATAAAAATAACTAATTCTCGTGAAGTTTAAAAACATCGCTCTTCAAAGAAGAAAACTGCCATTAAACTAAAAAAAAGGCTTCAGGATGTTTTCCGCGAAAGTTAAGTTCAGTGGTTTTATGACAGAAGGCGCTTAATAAATTAGAGTAATGCTTTTTGTTTCTTTTTTTTAACTCTGCCTTTTAATGATTGCTTGATATAAATAAGTAATTTAACCAAATTTGGAACTGCTTACTATTAAAAATTTATGAATCACTTATTAATGATGCACTGCACTGAAATGTTGCTAATTACGTGGAGAAAACAAATATTAGAATAGTAAGCTCTTAGTAATCCAAGAGTTTAATGACTGTTTACCTTCCAAATTATAACAATATATTTCTTAAAAGTGCAAAAATATGAATGCTGAAATGCATTTTAAAGTTTCGGTATCTTGAATGGGCAACAAGTTTTTATTAATATATCAGGAATGTAATTAAAAAATCGAATACTATAATTTAAATCATGTTGCCCAATTCATTTTTCTTCTTGCGCAATCGTCTGCATCAATAGAGAATGCTAATCATAAAAAAAGAAGATATTATAACCATTTCTATGCTATAAATTTCTTTCTTTTTTAAGGTATTTGGAATTTGCAAATATTTTTAAATCAAACAATAAAAGCAGAAAATTCATTACTTTTTAGCATATTTCAGAGAATTAGTTTGTCTATTTTTGCTGACATGAGAACAAGAGTTTATGGCATCAGTGAGATGATGAAACTTGGACATGGGAAATCGAGTTGATACCACAACTGAATGAAAAAAATGAAGATTACCGCCTTAAAAAACACATTTTACCAGTTCATTACCATAATCACGGAGACAATAATCATGACCATTAACGAGAATACCTGGGTCAAGATTTTCATAGGACAGAAAGACGACTCATTAATTCCGTGGCCACCTCAGTTTCCAGATTTAATTTCACGTAGCCTTTTATTGTGAGGTAGGATTTTCACACATACACTTTTTATGTTTCCACTTTCCACTTATATCCAGTCGATCGTGAAAAACTGGCCATCGAAGGAACAGATTGGTGCAAAAAATGGATGCCATTTGAGTAAAGGTGGATATAATGAGCATTTGTGAAATATGTAAAAAACTTCATAATTAAATTAATATATCAAATATATAAAATACATAAATATAAAACCATAAAAGGAGACCATAAACGTCAACATGTACGCTTATAAATATTGCATTCTATTGCTAATGTACTACATAGCATAAATTTTTCTCTCGGTCAAAGCTTCAAAATAATAATGTAGTAATTTCAATGCCTTTAACATTTCATTTGAATATTTCTTTCTTTCATTTCAGAATTACCTCCCTTGGCTAAAACGAAGCGGGTGTTACTTGGCTTGTGTAAAGGCGTCTGTCTACTGGGCCTATTATGGGCATTTGTCTGCTCCTTAGACTTACTAAGCACCTCATTCCGATTACTCGGAGGCAAACAAGCTGGAAGGGTTTTCAGAGACAGCGAGCTCTTGAGGAATCCTGTCGTGGGTCTAATGATTGGCGTATTGGCAACAGTACTAGTCCAAAGTTCGTCCACATCTACCTCTATCGTCGTCACTATGGTTGGTACAGGATGTAAGTCTAATCATTTACTTATATTTATAAACAGCAACTTGTATGAAAATTACTTTTAATTGTGCTTGACAGAATAAAGAGATAAAAGTAAGACGGGAGAAAAGGATTTTAATGCATAAAACTCAGATACATACTATATAATATCTTACAATGTGGCCAAAACGTCCTTTTACACGTGAACTAAATGCGTGTAACAATATAAGATGGTTGAATATGTAAGATTTGAACCTTCCATCCTGATCACTGATATGGCAACAGTGCTTTTCACGTGAATATGAACATGACAGCCGCGTAATTGCCAAGTCTGTGCATTGACCAGTTCACTGTTTCGCTTTTTTTCGCTTGCTGTAGAACAATGGCAGATATAATCAACCTCACTTTCGAAAGTATGTGGATCGATAAACGGAAGCATAACAACGAAAATATGACACAGGTGATGGACAGGTTTTTGTGAATGGTTTGGTAAGGAGCCACCAAATCGTCAGACTTTGATCGTGTATGCTAAGAAAGCTTTTACCTGGGAAGTGTTTTGGATTGATTAGCCTCTCATCTTTCTTTTACTGCGCAGATGTTCAGATTTTATGACACCATACAATGCCCTGAGGGGTCATCAAATCAAACTTCAGGAAGAAGCGGTGCGTGGACAATGATGCTCTGCGGGCAAGGGCGCTTGAAGCCTTCCAGCATCTGACACCGCAGCTGCTAAAGCGGATCAGTAAGTAGAACATTCAGGAGTATCAAGATGTGCACTTACTGAATAAGTAACTGTAAATGATATTAAAATTACAAATAAATAATTGCACGTGTGAAGGGACTTTCTGGCCGCCTTGTGTATGTCTTAGAGGTTCTTCTGTCCGCCTACTTTTGTTTGTGCATCGTACACGTAAATATATTTAATGTAACTGATGCTTACGTCAAGTAAGAAATTCGCTTTGCTATTAGATGTCTTCCAGCTAAAGGGTAGGACACAGGATGCACCTGAAATATATCGCAGATCGTATAATGTTTTTGAAAACATTATACGATTATTAAGTGATAGCACCGCGCGCAAATGGTACTAGATGTTCCAAAAGGGACTAATATATGTCCATGGTGAAAAAGGTTGGGAAAGAAATTCTTTGACGATTGATGATTTCCTTCCTATTTTGTGATGCTTTAGCTCAATGATCAGTAGTAAGCCTGTTTAGCAAACAGTTGGTCACCCGCTATTAAAAAAATAGGACAGAAACCAGTCACTTCATAAAATAAAACATTACTATTTTTCTGGCTTTTATATTGAATGTTGGGAGAAAAATTTATTTCCAAAGGTAATTTTAATACTGAAAGTACTATCCTGCCCAAAGTTTTATACTAGTTACATAATGTTTCTGGCGATATTGTTTATAATTACAAACAGTCTAAGTGCACGCCATCCGTTACGCGGAAGCATCGAGAAGGTAATCTAGCTCCAGCCACACATCTTGAAACCTATCCCGTGTGATGTAGTTGACAACCGTAAGGAAGAGGTCCTAAAGATCATTTAGATTTGTGGATATTAGAGGTACACAGACCTTGCCCTTCACGAAATCCTAAAGTCATACACAGTTTAAGCAGGGACCACTTTTAAAAATGCTGGTTATTTCCATCAGTGTGACAAACTGTTGTTCAAAAAGCTGCGCACAGATTATAACATTGCTTGCTTTCGCAAGTTCATGACCGCTCCAACTTCTTTGTTGCTGAGTAAACGTCATTTTCGATGTCACTGCCCTCTAGCTGCCGGAATCAGAATTACCGATTCTTAAAAAAGAAATGTGTGAAAACATAAAGATTTAACTGAGTTTCGAATAAAATTTCTTCAAAATATTCCTTTATTTATTAATTATACGATATCTTGAAATTAGGGTCTGTTTTTATGTTCAGTCTGCATATTAATGCGCTTTATCTAAGCCCATTCTCCTTACGAACTCTTTGGAAAATTGTTAAAACCAGCCCTCATAAATGTTTTCATATACATTTAAAAATTGCTGAGATTAATATTTTTTCTACCAGTCATAATGAAGCTGCCAAATGAAAACTAGTGACAATGGTCACTAAGATATCTTATAAGGTATTTTTTTCCTTTTTGCCGTGTGCCTTCATAGTGTAATTAGAAGCACTTTAGAATAACAATTGGGAGGTGCGGAACTCGAATCCCGGAGAGGGCACTACACATTTTTCATGCCTTCTGCTCCGATGTAAAACAACTCGACAACTGGCCTCCTTTCCAGTCGTCCTTTAAGTGGGACAGAATGTAAGGATATTTTCTTACTCCTTACCGCATGTCTTTGAGGTGTAATTGAAAGTACGACCGATTAGCACGTTTCGAGCTCGAATCCCAGGGAGGTCACTGCACAATTTCCATGTGTTCTGCTCCCATGTAAAACCTAATGATTCTATAATCTTAACTCTTTTTCTTGAAAATATTTGCTAACTGGGTGAATGGAGTTTATATATATGTGTGTATGCGTGTATACATACATATATACAAAACAATTTTAAGAAAACAAAATATAAACATACCTAGCATTTTCGTGCATTAAGCTGCTGAAAAATTATATAAATAAAGAAAGAAAGTAAGAAATTTAGAACCAATTTTTCACAAAGACAAAAAATTTAAATACATTTCATAAAATCCTATAACTGTAAAAAAGAATTTAAAAAATACTAAAATACTTCATTTTAGTTTTAATACTTTTTAAATTCTTTTGTGAAACATTGGTTCTAAATTTCTTACTTTTGTAGAAGAGAGATTTCAATGGATTTCAAAGTTCCTCTCCATCTGAAGAAGTAGCACTAAAGTTGATTGAATTCCTCTTCTGTTTTTGTTAATTTTTCTTTAAATTTCATTGATTTTTTTAAATGGAATTTTGTTTGTATGAAAAGGTTTGGGTTTAGTTTTTTAAAATTTTTTGTGCATTCATAAGATTATATGATATTTATTAATTATGAATTTCAATTTTTGGTCTTTATGAAAAATTAGTTCTGTGTATATATATATATATACATTAGGTTAAGAAAATAGGAATACAATTAAATAATTCCTGCGCTTGAGCTTCTGGGGACTGAATTTTTAAAAAGTTATTATAATATTTTTTTTGTTAAAATGATTATTTTATCATAGGAAAAAATGTTTAGGGTATTATTGTGTCGTGCTTATTGGCAATGAAATGTAAAAGCTGCAGAAAATTTTCTTTAAAAGGGGTATAAAAGTTTGGAAAAAAATATTAATGAGAGAAAGAAATAAAACTACCCCTTTTAGAGAAAGTATTTTCCGGTTGAGACAATATTAATACCAAAACATTATTTCCTATATTTCCTAGAATAGAATAATCGTTTTAATATTTTATACATATGTATATATAATGTACAATGTAACAAGTGAATCTTAAATTCATATTCCACAGAGAGAGAAAGAATAAAACACTGCAGATTAATTATAGGTAAAAACACAAAATAATACAAAAAATATAATGAAAATATTACACTGCGAAGCAAACATAATTGCTGCAGTGAACTAAAAACACGGTGAAGCTCAAAAAGAAAAATTTCATAAAATCCAAACTGAGGTATTATACTTCTCAAGGTGTCTTCTTCGGATGACTGAAGCAGTGAAAAATGCAATTATGTTTTTTTTTCTGCGATAAACAATGAAAATTTTAGTAAGATTAAAAGTAAATCTAATAAACTTAAAAAGCACAGTTCCTACTCTCTTTCCAAAACTTATTTCATAACACTGTCATATTTACTTAAGCCTACGACAAAAATTGATATCATAACTAATATTTATATCTTGACTATGTCCATGAAGAGCTAACGCATTTTTGGCATCATAAGTGTAATATTAAATAGCCATTCTAAAATCATTTTTCAAAAATTTGCCTCGTATCGGACTTGTTCTTCGAGATCTTTATCAATAGCAATTTTTTCCCATGCTTCTTACGCAGCTCTCTCTTCCACATGTGATTTGGAAGAACTAAGGGTTTTAATTTTTACCGTTAAATATTACCATTACCTTAACGTCAACCTTAACCTTAAACGAGTTGGAATACGACGGAAAACGTTTACAGTACGCAACATCAATATGTTGCACTAAAATGTCCGTTTCCTTGTGTAGTATCTTTTGGAAAGGGCCAGTAGGTTTTCTTCATTTTCATCACAATTAGATAGAAATTTTCTCATATCATCAGTAATATTGTTACCTACATAATTAACTCTATCTACTGGCGTGCACATATGTATTTCTTCTGTATATTTTTTATCAACCTTACTAGCAGAGAACACTTCAGCCTATTATGTGTATAGTTTTTTATTCAAGCTGCTCAACCTTACGGCAGAAAAGATATCCACTGAAGAATATTCTGAGTATGATGTTTTAATGACAACGCTGTCTAGTTTTGGGAGTTTTTTTTTTTTTTTTTTTTGGGGGGGGGGGGTTAAAAGATACAGTATATTTATTTTTACAATTTCCATTTTTGTTTGCAACATGTTACTGATTTTTTACATAAAAATATAACAAACTTTTAAGAAATAAAGCTTACGCAACGCTTATCAAGGAACACTCCAAGTAACGACGTTTTTAGTTCGACTTGTTGTTGCCACACGGCGAATCTTAATAACTATTCAAAACATTACATGATATTGCCACTTAGGAAATCTTAATAATTATATAAAAACATTAAACTATGTTCCACTTTTCTTTATTTTTGTTTTTTGTTCCCCATTCTTCCATTTTATCTTACTCATTTTAACTAATAATATGTATAGTATTTTATCAGTTGTTATAGTTATTTTAATATTTATTACCTTCAAATTTTATTTTACAACCGACAACTAATAAATTTGTTTTTAAGCATCTGTAGAACTAAACATAGCACACGGACTACTACAGGGTGCGAACACTTAGCTGTTCTGGTTGCCCTTTGTTTAAATGTGCATGAGCAATCTAACCAAAACTTACCTGTTTGGCTTGTGATAACAATTGT